GTTCCGAAGCCTGAGCTCGCGGGATCTTGGGTCGGGGGTGAACTGGTCGAATTGGGGCCTGGCCCATAATGGGTCGTCCGAGTGGGCCTTGGGTGGAGTGGATCACGAGCTGGGTGGGAGGCTGAAGAGGTCTTCGTCATTTGATCTTATGAATGACGAGGAGGAGCCGGACCTGTCGTGGGTCCAGTCGCTCGTGAAGGAGTCCCCACAGGAATTGAAGGAAAAATCGGTGGTGTCTCGTTTGGCTGGGAATGGGGGCGGCGCAAGTTCGTCGTCTGGTGGAGGGGCTGTGATTTCGAGCGAGCAGATTGAGGACCAATCGGTTTTAGGGGCGTGGCTCGAGCAAATGCAGCTCGACCAGCTGATGGCTCAGTGATAAGTAAAAAGATTTTCTCCACTAAACGCGGTGAAAGTTACCAGCGTTTTACATTTTGAGGTTTGTTTGGGTGCAAGCTTTTGAAAAGGGGAACCCCATAGTGTGAAGGAAAGCTGTATTTCTATTCTTTTTTTTGTTATTAAAAAATAAATTATATATCTTGCAAAGAATGAGTAATCAACTGGGGTTGGGAAAGAGGAAAGAAAAGAAAAAAAAAAGAGAGAAAAAATAAAGAAAAAAAAAGTTAAAATCCTAGTTTAGAAAAACTATTAATATAATTGCTGAAATATTATGGTATTGTTCTAGCATCTTAGGTCCTTATTCCTAATTGGTTTCATTATAAATTTCAATGACTTTATTGTAATCAAAAGAAGCATGTTGCAAGGCCTTACAGGGTATCCTGCTATAGGGGTTTTAGCAGTGTTCGATTTTCTTGTTATCGCGGTAGAAAATAGTAAGAGGCATCGTGCTAGTTGCTGTACTTTAGATATTCGACTCTTTTTGCTGTGTGTCTGCGTAACTTAGAATAAGTTTCATTCTAGGAAAAAAGGAGAAGACAAGAAGAACCTTATCTTGATCACTTGATGTAACGTGAAAGAAAGATAATCGAGGTTTGTTTTTTCGTTTATCCCTTGTAAGCTGTGGAATTTCCTTCTTTATGCAAAAATATTCTTGGATTTGCCTGTTTATATTCAGTTACTTTCTTGTGTATGCCCTTTTCACTTGCTGTGTTCCAAGTGGTGTGTTTTTGTAGTGTTTTTTTTTTTGTTCCCATTGCCTTTCTTTATGCTATATTCTTGATTTGTCTTGTGTAGCTATTGCTTTCTTGAATTTTAACTCACATTTTATGGGGTTTAAGGGCTATTTTTGATGAGTGGATTCCTCAAGTAGGATTCCATATCTATAAAGTTTGATTTTGAGAGTCTATGATTGATTTGGTTTAGGATTTAGACTGAAAGAAAGAAAAACACACACACAAACACACACACACACACACACACACGCATAAGTGCACATTTTCTTTTCTCTTCGGAAAAAGTACGACGGGTTGACCTGTCTAACGGTTAGACCGTTTCACATAAGAATTCGTATTAGTTATATTCTTTCTGGGAACTTTTTATAGATCAGATGCATGTTTTTTTCCTTTTTATTACATATTTTAATCTATTGAGGGGATAAAGAATTTTGAGACCTTTTAGTTTTATAAGGAATTATGAAGGCTTAATTTCGAAGGTATGATGATGAAATTTTAATGGCATGAAGCTTGATGATCATTTTTTTCATCCAGCTTGATGTTTTTCTTTTTTTTTTTGGCTTTGAAAAAAAAAAAAAAAAACTTATAATGGTGATATAATTAATTATATTATAGGGAAATGCACGGTTCCGTTACGGAATCTAACGGTTACGAACCCCGATAGAATGGTTCTGTAACGGGACCATAGCATCTCCCTATATTATTATTATATATGCGTGCATTTGAATAGGGTTTGTTGGTATTGAGATTTGAGGACTTTATTATCTAAAGTGATACTTAAAGACTATTTTGAAGTTCATTTTTGATCTTATTCTTGACTATAGTATAGTTTGAATTCATATTTCAGTCCATTGTCAAATTTAGGATGAATATATATATATATATATGTATATAGTAAATCATAACATACACTAAAAATAGTATCCTTTATTCATTGCTATTTATTAGTTAATTAATTAAAATTTTGGAATTTTTATTGCTTTCAAAAGTTGGAAAGTATATAGGTGGGGAAG